TGAGAGTGAGGTTGTTTTTTTGCCATGGCAATGTCCTAAGATGACTCAAACAAACTCTTGTGCTGTAGCTGTTGTTTTTCTGTACTCTAGCCTCTTAGAAGTTAAATAATGCAAATTAATGGAAGATTAGTTAAAAAAAAAAATTGAGCTGCTCCCTTCTTAAGGGGTCATCACAGCAAACAAACTTCCATGAACGAGTTAGTAATTTGTTTCACGCTGGATGCTCTTCCTGGGCTCAAACCCACAACCTCAGGATTACAAGACCATGGCACTGACCACCGTGCTAGATTGTGGGCTCAAAATAAACATCACAAATTCAAGAGATAAAAAATGCATCTGCAGTCCATTCTACAGCTTTGATAAATTCTTCTCTTTAATAGATTTTTCTTTTTTCTTCTTGGAGGCCGAGTCGGGGTAGAGGCAGGGCAGCCAACCTGGGACCAGAAAGTCGCGGTTCGACTCCCAGCCATGCCCACATGTCTTGATGTCTCTGAGCAAGACACCCACTTCCCGATTGCTCCCCGGGTGCTTACACAGCTGCCCACTGCTCCACCTGGGTGTATTTCAGGTGAATGGATTCAATGCAGAGATCTAATTTCATCATTGTACGGAGACATACAATGACAACAATCTCAGACTTCCCTTCCCTCCCTTCACAGTATAAAACATCTTAGTTTGACTGGAGAAATCGTGCCCCATAGGTCACATTGTCAGAGCACCATGAGTGGCAATATCAAATTTAACAGCAAGAGTTTTCAGTGATTATCAAATTCACAGTTTGTTGGAGAAAATCTGTCTCACTAACATTGTTTACCCAAAAGAACCACTCTCGACAGCAGGAGAAGGTTTATAACCAGTATTTATACTTGCAAGGTCAGATTTTTAGGACAAGTTACATAAATATACATAAAATGTATACACACAAAGAACAGTCATAAAAATCTGCCATGAGCTGCGTTACCTGCTCGCTTTTATACCCATATCAGTTCAGCAGGGTTTACTGTAGTTCAGTGGGTGTCCTCAACGTCAGCTGTAGTCTCACATGGCACTCTTGGCCTTCACAGATATGATTCATGGGCATCTCTTCAGTTCATGTTAAGAGAATGTTTTGGGAGACAATTTGGTTGTTCTCAGGGGAAGAATGTTAATAATAAAACATCCATAACCTTTGACCAAAAATTATCTGGCACAGTTAATTGCAAAAAAGTCAAGTTGCTGATTGCTGTTGACTAAAGGTCAATAAATGAAAAGGCAGGGGGTTACATTCTTAGGAGGTCATGGATGGCTCCACAAACAATCTAACTGGATTCTGTTATCTCTGACATCTAGAGGGACTGCAAATTGCAATGTGAATAATATTGCCTGACAGAGAATTAGAAGTCCAACAGAGCCAAAATAACCAGCTAGTGATTATATATATATATATATATATATATATATATATATATATATGAGTTGAATATTATAACATGTAACATTGAATATTATAACATGTAACCAGTCACCAGTTGATGGTAATCAACGGATGGATATTCTTCTTCTTTTTTGGCTTTTCCCTCTTCAGGTGTAGCCACAGTGAGTCATCCTCCTCCATCTCACTCTGTCCTCTGCATCCTCTGTCCTCACTCCAACTACCTCCATATGTCTCCTCTTTGTCTTTTTCCTGGCAGCTGCATTTCTAACATCCTTCTACCAATATGCCCACGGTCCCTCCTCTGGACTTGTCCAAACCATCTCAGTCTGGTCTCTCTAACTTTATCTCCCAGTTGTTCAACCTGTGCTGTACCTCTGATGATCTCATTCCTAATCTTATCCATCCTTGTCACTCCTAATAAGAACCTCAACATCTTCATTTCTGCCACTTTCAGTTCTGTCTCAATCACTGGATGGATATTTTTAATGCAATATCGATGACGTTTATACACTATTGTATGTCTTTAGTTCTACATGAATTGCTGATATTATAACACATTGGGGTAGAGGCAGGGCAGCCGACTCTGGACTCAAAAGTCCCATGTCCAATCCCCAGTCATCGCACATCTTGTGGTGTGTCTGAGCAACACATCCTATTCCCAACTGCTCCCCCGGCGCTTTCAATAGCTGCCCACTGCACCACTTGGGGGTGGATGGGTTAAATGCAGAGAGCCAATTTCGCCATTGTATGGGACCATACAATGATGACAACACATAACATATTATTAATATTATTATAACATATAATTTCATTCATATGAATTACAAACATTTGTTAACCAATCACACTGATTTACATGCAAATATTTTAGATATAATTTTTATTCATTTTTCGTACCCCTTTTTGTCAGCATTTTATTGTGTGTATTGTATGCAGACCACACTTTTAGGCAGCGAACACAGAGACACACAAGACAGCCACTCATGAGCGCTCACACTCACTGCTAAGATCAGCTGAATCACTAAATAACCTTAACGGACAGAATGTTAAGTCACGCTGAGATTTGAACCTGAGGTGTTCTTGAGGCGTCAGCAGGGGAGAAGTCCATTGCACTAACCCCCGCTTCGCCATGTCAGTTTTGTAAATTCAAATTGTCGTAATAACAGTAAGATGTTGTTTTGAAGCCATTGTAGATTTATAACAAGCTTTCTTACAATATGTAATGTGTATGGTCACAGTTTAATTTTAATTATTTCTTACGGGTATAGTTCAGATGTTTGATGTGGGGTTTTGTGGAAAAGGTTATTTATTGTCTTACCTGCTGTAGATAGCTCGTCAAACAAGTTCAGTTTGGTGGTTAATACAAATACTATTTCATAAACATTTACATTGCTATCAGTTTTGTTTTGCATGGTTATTCTTAAAGATATTTTATAATATTGGTGCAGACAATGTCATTGGACTATAGCACAAGTGCTTCACTAGCCAGTCAGGATTAAAATTCTTCTACTTCTTCTTTTGGATGTTTCATTTTCAGGGGTCACCACAGCGAGTCATCCTCCTCCATCGCACATTGACCACCTTCTGTAACTTTCTCCATGTTCTCTCTAACTGCATCCATTTAGCTCCTTTTTGTATTTTTCCTTGCAGCTGCATTTCTAAGATCCTTCTCCCAATATACCCACTGTCCCTCCTCTGGACATGTTCAAACCTTCTCAGTCTAACTTTATCTCAGTCCTTCAACCTGCACTGTATCTTTGATTATCTCATTCCTAAACCTGAGCTACTTCAACCATATGCTCCTTCTTGGGTGCTGAGAACATCTGACCAGCTGCTTTTGGTTGAACCATAAACCAGGTTGAAGCTCAGAGATCGGGCTTTTTCAGTCGCGGGCCCTAAACTCTGCTCCCCAACATTAGACAGGCCACTTCACTTCCTGTTTATAAATCTCTTTTAAAAACACGTCTGTTTTCACTGACCTTTAACACATTGTGATTCGATTTAGTATTTTATTGATTTGAGTTTTTTATGTTTTCATTTTGATGCTTTTATTCGATTTTCGTCATTACTTTTTATTTCAATTATTGCCATTGCTTTTTATTGTTAAGCGCTTTGGTAGCAGCTGCTGTTTGAAAATGTGCTTTATAAATCAATTTAACTTGACTTATCCATCCTTGTCACTCAAAGAGAACCTCAACATCTTCATTTCTGCTACTTCCAGTTCTTTCTCCTGTCTTTTTGTCAGGATTTTGCACAGGATATACAGCATGGAAGATATTAATTGCTCCTACATTTCCACATATACTTCAACACATCTGAACTAAGCTAGGCCCACATAGTAAGGTCAGGGTCAAGGTCAAGGTGTCTTTATTGTCATTCGCACCACATGTGGTACATGTGGTGGAATGACATTGTGTACACAGGGTTCCAGGTACATCCCACAAAAATACAAATTGTAAAGAAAAACAGTAGTAAGATCCAAGATATGAACTAAGAAATAAGCTAAACTAAAAATATACTAAGCACTAATAGTACAAAACAATGTGCCAAACAACAGCAGCACGAACATGAGTCTGTGTGAGCAGATGAGGACTAATGAACACAGCAACATGAAATAAATCAGCAGCATGCGATCATCATCATGGATAATCAGTAGCACATATCATCAATCAAGTGGCATTACAGTGATTTTTTTCACAGTAATTTTCACAGTGATAATCCTGACTGGGGATTCATGCATCTAACAGCCTCAGGGTAGAAGCTGTTCCTCAGTCTAGTGGTTCTACACTTAATGATCCTCAACTCTCTGTCTGAGGGGAGTGGTGCAAAAAGTGTGTGTGCTGGGTGAGTGGGTTCCTTCATGATGCAGGTGGCCCTCTTCCTGCATCTGGAGGTGTAGATGTCTGTGATGGTGGGGAGACTGACTCCAACAGACTTCTGTGCAGCCTTCACCACTCTCTGCAGAGCTTTACTTTCTGCAGCTGTGCAGTCTCCATGCCACACGTTGATGTTGGAGGATGCTCTCCACTGCACACCTGTAGAAAGAGGTGAGGACTGAGCTACTCAGTCCAGCTCGTCTCAGCCACCTGAGGAAGAGTCTAACTGGGTCCAACAAAATATCATTTGGACCGTGAGCTTGTGAATATGTCATTAATGTAAATAAATAACACCTGTTTAGTAGATTTTCTTGGGTTATATGGCCTCTGGTCAAAATAATTTTGCAGCAAAAATACTTACATTTTTCCTTTTTGTGGCTGTGTTCATATAATCCTTAAGGCGTTTGAGTCATGACACACTCAGTCACAAAGATTGCAGTGGGAGTTCAGACATGCTGCCTGGTTGTCTGTTTCCCACTTGGTTCGAGTTAATCACCTCGTGAGTTTGTTAAAATAGATCTGTGGCCCTGGAAACAGCCTCGTTCATTAAGGCTTGGCCACTTCCCCGGACCCCTGATCTCCTCTGTTCAAAGAGAGGGAGAACACAGCAGCACATCCCAGTCCTCCTCCTCCTCCTCCTCCTCCTTCAAAGATGGATCAGCCCTGCTAACAGCGCACAAGTCCACTCCAGCAGCTCACAAGTTGGGGTTTCAGCTTTTGTTTGGCAGCTGAGACAAACTCTCATTTTCCTCCTCTTAACATCCCCCTTTCATCACACTGGCAGTTGGAGCATGTCAGCAACAGGAGTAGATCCGCGCCTTGTGCTCCTCCTGCTCTGCTGCGTCTCCTCCGCGGCGAGCGATGCGTTCGCGTTCACGGAGGAGCCGTCGGAGAGAGCGGGGAAGGCGGACAGCTACTGCAGCCGGATCCTCCGGGATCACAGCGGCCAGAGGGAGACCAGCACGGAGTTTCGGCTTCGTGTTGAGGGAGATCCAGAGAGCTACCAGCCGGGGAGCACGTACAGAGGTCCGTGTGGGGGTTACGAACACTTTGCTTTGCCTGGGAACAGCAGAAAACTTCAGATAAGTCCCAGCATCATTTGTACTGAATCAGGCTGCACAGAGGCTTAATTGATGCATCTTAAAAAAAAACAACAAAAAAAAAACATCCACTAGTTAACAAAAACGACTTAAGTTAATAATAATAATAATAATAATAATAATAATAATAATAATAATAATAATAATAA